GAGCTGATATGTATATATACATACGGTATCTAAAATTAAGCGTATAGCGAGCATATTTAACAATTTTTAAGCAATAATGTATTGCGAGCAGCTGTAACTGAAATATCGCATAAAAATCATATAATTATAACACAAAACTAAAATTTTATTGGAATCTAGGTTAAACTAAGATAAAATTAATATCAGCCCCTTCGCCACTCTCAGCAGTCAACCAGGGCTCATAAAAGCTTAACAGCGCCTGGGTCCGTTCACCAACTGTGCTAATGTGAGTGGCGGTGTGGTAAAACCCATTTTAACAGCGTGAATATTTATCAAATATAAACGCGCTAGCTGCTAGCATACTTGTATCATTTAATTTTTAATCAAATTTATTCGGATATATATTTATTGATTATGTATTGAATTGGTGATAAATAATAAAATTGTCTTTTCTCAAAAAATTGTCTTTTCTCGATACTTGCCTGTTATTCCCACTTACTGACTGATAATCTTATCTATGGATACCATGCTTGAATTTAGGTAAACAACATAGCACTTCCTCACCAGTCACGTTGAACGCGATCGCCGAATGATAAAACAATATGGGAACGCGCGCGCACAGCATTGCGCGCTGATACTCTAAATACTGTGCGCGTTTCGTCCGGAACCTGGGGGAGTTCCCGCTCTAATATATCTGACGACAGTGATCACTCATTATGAGAACTAAACCCGACCACTTTCCCGGTCGAACCGTACCCAAATCAAACTAATTTATGAACCACGTGTATAGCCAACGTCCTTGCGGTGCTGAGCCGATGTAAAACTCTTCTGTCTCTTGTTAATATTTTAGTTGTACTGTGCATAAAAGTGTGTAGTGACAAGTGTGTAGTGGTAATGTATATTATTTATTATGACGACGCGATATTTATAATGCAGAATTAAAAGCTGCTCTCGATATGACTGGTGGTGGGCTCTCTCCGGCGGGACATAGATCTATATAGGGGGTACCCGGGGTACGAGTTAACGAACAGTGTTCGTGTCCTTCCACAACCCCCTGTTACCTGTGTTTCTGTCGGGGTAGCCTAATTGATTGGACAAACAAAGATTTCGAATGCTCTAATCTAAATTTTGACATTAAGTCTACCCTAGGGTCCACACATCCAAAATGATTATCTTGAAACTGAAAATTAGCTGGGTGTGCATTTTCCTTTGTCTTACTAACGTGTGTGAGCGCAGTGTAGTGAGAAAGTGTTTTTAACAGATTTATTATTAGACTTAGGATTATGATTTTTAATATATTACATTGATATAAGATTTATTTTTGATAGGTACTTAATAAAGTTGATGAATTTCCCTCCCTATTAAAATTTTAAACCCATTTAGTGAAAATTGATAAACGAAGATCTAGATATTGATACATATTATAACCAACATTGCTTATATTCTGCCTTGTAAACAAAGAGCAAATCTTCTTAATGCCTTCTTCCTGTCCTAAAACTAAAACTTCATCCTATTAAAGTAAAGGCCAGTTGTTACCACAAGCTATTATACCGTCCCTCTCAAAAACATGCCTCAGCCTCCATCAAAAACAATTTTAGTTTTCAGTCCTTCTAGTTTCCAAAAATCTACCGAGCTAGTGTTCTGGTGTGCACAAAAGCCCCTAAGCCCGTGCATTCCTTGCCCCGCTAGCTGCCAGTCCTTGACAAACTTCCAATAGCAAAGATCAACTAGTCATTTACAAATTGAGCACTATACAACTTTAATTGTTTTAAATATTTGACTTTGTAAAATGAGCTAAAACATTGATTTTATTAGTTTCATTGATTTTATTAGTTTCATTGAATTCATCCGTTAGAATCGCAGAGTTAGCGGAGCTCATGATATCTCGCGACGTATGCTGCATGAACGGTGCAAGACTTGCGCCGTTTGTTTCAGCATCCAGTTGCGAGTGCTTGCCCATCGAAAACATGATTAGTGATTGTGGATTTTATTGATATTACTGATTATCCATCATATTCAGTATTAATGTCATCCATTATTTATTTATTGACATCCTTCAGTCTCCAAAACGAGGTGTGAAGGTAAATTAACTTTGAGCCTTGTTTTGGCGACTGCTTAATCGATGGGCAAGTAGGTATTTGTTTTTTAGCAGTGTTGAACATTGAAACAATTATAAAATGTTTATTTTTATCTTATATAACGTACAATATGAATGACATATGCTATAGTGACGTAACATATATAGTGCAAAGAATTAGTAACTTGCGAGATGTGATTTAGTGATAATCGACGTTAACATTTTGCAGTTTACAGTTGCACAATGTTGACGTCGATTGTTACTGACATTTATCTGAATTTAATACAAGTACATGTCACATATAAATTGGGTAGCTGAATGAAACTCGTGCCTCAAAATTTTCCGTTATTAGCATTGCAGTGTCCACGCCCTGTACTGCGTTAACGACCGAAATTTTCCCAATATGCAATTATTATTTTGCTTCTAAAATTCTCTGATAATTAATAATATATCGTGACATGTAATTGTAAGATAACAAACCTCGCGCGCGCGGCGCTTACATCTGCACCTGAGAATCTCTCAGCAATGTGTGGCTGTCTGCGCGGCGGGCGGTGTATTGTGTATATAGCTGAATTTAAATTTAGATTTATTTGTAAATGTATAATAATATTAAATATGTATTGATTGTTTTGTGGTAAATAAAAATTTTGTTTTACTAAAAAATTTTGTTTTACTAGTAAAAGAAACATTGAGAGCACATGACAGACCCTCAATAAGCTCATTGATGATGATGAAAATCTTAAAATAACTGGCTACAATGAGCATTTTATTAACAATAAATAGTAAAGATCAAAACTTCAATTTCCAAAAGACTAATAAGTTTAAATACCTACCTAACAAAATTACACCCCGTTAAGACGTTATAAAGTATCAGTAATTTAGTACAAAATTAAAGATCTTAACAATTTCTACACTTCAAAATACTAGAATAAATGTTCATAGAACACAATATTTGACTTTACCAGTCACTTGACGTTTCAAAATGAAACTGAGGTTAAAGATGCAGTTACAAAAGGCCACTGGTTCTCAATGGTTACTGAAACAAACTTTTTCCAAAATAAAAGTTTTAAAGCAGCCCATATCTGCTTTTCTGTGAACTAAACAGCTCAAATAGAAAAACTCATTCCCTTGTTATTACAACAATATTTAATTTAAAGGTGTTTGTTTTCAAAAGCTTCAATAAGCTCAAAAGGTTGGTCATCATGAGTAAAATGTTTTTGTTTACAACAAACGCTTTCATGTAGTCAAATGCAATCAAACAACCTTTTTCATTTTATATGATATGCACTGCAATTGAGTTATTAGGTGGTTTACATTTTTGAAGATGTCTTACTGCATACTGCTTTAAACATTTTCCTGGGATCGTTAGTGTTATATTAGTTATATTAGTGATTTCACTGTTGGTCTGATCAGCTTGAGCAGACCTTTCTTCAACTAATCTTCTTTGGATACAATTAGTGAGGTGGTTGATGGATGACCTTAATTGAGGCAAAAGACACTTATATCTATTTTGGCACAGTATGTAGTCTATTTTATATTTGTGAGTATACTGTGCCAACCAGCAGACCAATCCTTCCGCCAATCAGTAAATAATGTAACATGTCTGCTTTGATGTATAAAACAAGTGTTTGCAGCAAAAAGGTTTTTTTCTGAGATAAAATCGAGCAATCAGAACCATTATTGTTCCTTACTCCCATTCCATACCTCCCCATATACCTACTGAAACCCTGTTCCATATCAGAAGGAGATAATCTACCCAGTTTTGGATTAAAGTCACCCAGGAATTGCAACTCCACATTAGAGGGGACATTTTTGGCCTCTCTCAGCTGCCCATAAAAGTTGTCCAAAACAACTGGATTTTTTGGACTAGCCTCTCATGTAAGCATTGATCACCCTTCAACCAGTGGCGTAACGTTTCCTGTTGGCGCCCCTCCCCTGCTGAAAAAGCGCCCCTCTGTTGGTGCCACCTCCCCTTTTGTCAATCCTCCCTAAAATTGAACAAATTAGGTGATTTTAGAGGATATGTCGGTAAAATCTCTAAAAAAGTGTGTTTCTAGATCAAAACGCGCAGTTTTGCTAGTACCTCAGTAAAGATGGCGCCCCCCCCCTGCACAGCGGGGTCGGTGGTGCCCTTCGTTATGCCACTGCCTGCAACGTATGGGGTGTACCGCTAGGTGAGTGGATACAAATATTGACATTGCATACCTGGTCACTAATCTACTTCCAGCAAACCACTTAGTTCATCATGTGGAGTTGAGACACAGTTAATAAACTGCAGAGTGACTAAAATGCTATACAGCAAAAACAGAAAGCTCCAACCAAACACTCCACCTACTGATCCTAACCACCCTAACAACTCTCAAGCTCTCTCTCTTCAACCCTCATTCCCTCACTCCTCTTGGTGCACAAAACCATTCTAACCTATGTATGTCCCCCTTATATATTACGGGTTCCACAAGCCCAACGGTACATAGTTAGACGAAAAACAGAGAAGCCTTGATTGCCAGATCAAGGACTGCATCAGTAGCAGCGAAATACGGATATACCTTCTCCCTTACAGTCAGCGAGCTGACAACTATCTGACTGTGTCTTTTAGGCCTTGCCACACCACCTTCGCTATTGCATCCGCTCGCCCATATTCACTGACACATGCCACACCTGGGTTTAGTATGAAGATGTACGCATATTCACCCAAGATGTGGAGATGCCTCAGTTTAGCAAGTTGAGATACAACAGCAAACTCACAGGAGCATGGATCAGAATCATCAGTTACCAACCTGACACCGTTTCGGGGCTTTAATCGCAATACGGTTTCCTGTCAGGCGCCCCAGCAGTCCACCCTTGAACCACCATCTGATCCGAGAGTCACTTGAGGAGACCCGTTAGAGCTCGCAATTGGCGACGAGATAACGTTTATGGTTCCTCTAGATGTTATAGTGAACTCTCAAGCTCCAACCTTCCTGAACTCCCACTCCCTCTTTCTCGATAACAAGTAAATCCATCTGGAACAGTGGGCTGCCTCTTTCCCACTGTCCCGTACCAGCTTCTTCAGCTCTCTTCCTCTAAAACCAATCCTCCTCGCAGCTCTCTCCAAACTCTGCGCAACCACTCCCCTAGCTCCAACTTCGACTGCGGCATTATAACAGCACCAACCTTTCGCCTGAATCTCAGCCTGCAGACCACTGTATCGGTCGAGTTTGTACTCGTGCGATTCAGCGATCCGCTCTTCAGATGGTACTGTTAGCTCCCACCAAATAACTGTCTTTGCCGACCTTGAGAATATCACAAGGTCCGGCCTCAGCCGTGTTTCCACAATCTCACTGGGAAACTTAAGCTGCCCATCAAGGTCTGACAGCACTATCCAATCCCGATACCCACTCAGGATCCCAAAACCACGACTCTCCTTCCGGTCGTCTGTACCTGCTTTTCTCCTCCCAGCAGGAACAAAATCAATGAACTGTCTTCCATTGCCGGCCTTGTTCTTATAAGTGTTCACTCGGCGATCACAATGGAAGACAACCTGTTCAGAGATCTGCTTCAGAACCTTGTCGTGCCGCCATCTATACCTTCCTTGACTAAGGGCCACCTTACACCCAGCCAAAATGTGCTGAATGGTGCCCATCCTCTCCTCACATAACTTGCACTTCCCATCCTCATCTTCACTCCACTTGGAAACCATAGAGGGGGTTAAGAGGGTGCCGTACACAGCACTTAGCATGAACCCAATAAGTGAGTCACCATACTTAAAAAGTGTATGCCAGCTCAAATCCGTCTTCATTACGAGCTCTCTCCACTCACCCCACCTGCTCTGCATCTCCAGAGAACCTACTTGCACCTCCCTCTCTCTTTCAATGTTCTCCTTCACTCTCAGCATAACCTCCCTCTCTCTTTCCCGCTCATCCATCCTCTCCCAAGGTTTTTTCCAGTCACCAAAACCGATGCCAACTCTTTTTTGAGGTTGCACCATCCCTCGCACCGATTCACAGACCAAATCTCTTCTGGCCTCTTCCAGTTCTGTCTCAGGCCTCCAAACTCTACCAGAACGAACTTGGGGCTGGACTGCTTTAATCAGGTCATCCTTAGATGTCTGATAAGATTGCAACAGTCGACACTTCTGTATCTTCCATGTATCTGTCAAGCTGCTCACCGGTAAGGCCACACTGGATGATTGACTGAACAGACAAAGACCACTAAGAGTGTGCCCCACCCCTAACCACTTTCTGAGGAAACTGTTGGTATTCTGTTCCCATCTGGTAACTGTTGTGAACGGAATATCATAGATGGCAAGAGGCCACTTCAGTTTTGGAAGGACCATGTACTGATATCCCCAGCACTTCTGGAGTCCAGTAAGGGAACTTTCATCGAGTCTCCGAAGAAAAGTGTTAAGGTCGACCTTGGTTGAGTCGATGACTGATTTGTCATTTCCTTCCACTCTTATCCATCTCCCAAGGAATTTTATCGGCTTCTCTGACACATTCGGAATCACCTCACCACCCAACTGCAAACACAACTCTCTCTCCACCTCCTCCTCTCCTACCACTACCTCCTCAACCCACCTCACAGCCACTCCCTTCTTCAACACCAGTGCTCTGGACTTGGAGGACTTTAACTTAAATCTGGACCAGTCCACATACTTCTGAAACACATTGAGTAACGTTTGCATATCTTCTGCACGTGCGGTGGTCAGACAGCTATCGTCCATAAACAGCTTCAGAGTTGGTATTGGTGTGTCATCCTTGATGTACTCAATGCTTCTCGGAACCTTCGACTTTAGGTGTTCATGCCCAAGGTTCATGCACAAGACAAACAAGATGACTGATATCACACACCCCATGAAGATTCCTATCTCAAACTGCTGCCAGTCTGATGTCACCGTTCTTGAGGAGAACCTTCCGAATACCCCGGAGAAGTACCGTAGGATAATGTTGATAACCTTCTCAGGGACGTTGTAGAAACGGAGGGCCCTGGCAATCAGAACATGGGGTACCGCTCCGTAAGCGTTAGCCAGGTCAAGCCATACTACACTCAGATCCTTCTTCTTGACCTTTGCCTCCTTCAGTACCTCCCACATGGCACCAAAATGCTCCGTGCACCCACGGACGCCTGGCACACCACCCTTCTGTATAGAGAGGTCTACATATCCATTCGAGACAACAAAGCTGGTCAACCTCTTCGCCAGGATCGCCAAATAGATCTTCCCTTGAATGTTACCCAGGGAAATAGGCCGTCCTGAACTTGGTGAAAAGTCGCCATCCGCCTTTGGGATGTAGACACCCTCGAAATACCTACAATTGTCAGGATATTCTCAGTAAAGATGGCGCCCCCCCCTGCACAGCGGGGTCGGTGGTGCCCTTCGTTATGCCACTGCCTGCAACGTATGGGGTGTACCGCTAGGTGAGTGGATACAAATATTGACATTGCATACCTGGTCACTAATCTACTTCCAGCAAACCACTTAGTTCATCATGTGAAGACTGATTTTGAAACCCAAGCCTCCATGTTGCCTCCACGGATGTTGAAGGTGGCAAAGCTGATCATTAACGCAATGGTTGTTGAAAAAGTTGATTTTTTCAAAATTGTTTTATTTATTTGATTTTTCAATAATCTATAATATAATTTACTTATCATAACTTGTAACCTAAGCCAATCATCTACTACAGGACTCAACATGAGCTTGTTACGTCGTGGGTAGTTGATTTCTATATGTACCCCAGACCATTTGATGATGAAGGTAAGTATCATAAAAGACATAATGTACATAACAAAATAATTAATAGCTTTATACATTATACAGTGATGTGCACTATTACTATACATCATTAACGTCACTTGACAGAATTTCACATGCAAGTACTAAATGCTTCACTACATCACTGCAACATTGTCAATGAAACAAGAAATTTCAATGAAACAAGAAATTTAATTTTAGCACATTTTACAGAATAAAAAGATGTAAAACAATTCATAAAATATAATGCCCATTTGGTGTATGACTTTTTGTCCTTGACTGCTTGTTTGGTTTTGGAAGGACAGGTAACTAACGGGGCAAGGAATGCGCGTGCCTGGGAGCTTTTGCACACACCAAAACGCTAGTTCAGTTAAGTTTTTAGAGACAAGGCTCACATTAGGACTATACGAAAAATTGTTAGCAGACATTAGGGGTTCTGTTTAAAGTTTTTACTATCTAGGTTGCAGTCTTGTTGTGACAAAAAGTCTACACTAAAACATGCTTGATTTTATATTGTGTAGTTCAAGGATTAAAAATGCACCTTCAAGGTGGATATTGGAGAGCAGGCGAAAGATTATGGCTTAAATTTATCAATGGTTATAATAAGCTATAAATATTTTAAACTATACAATGCTAATTAAAAATTTCTTTATACTTCATTCTCAAATTAAAATTTAAAAATTCAAAAATATACATTCATTTTATTAAAACTTTCTCACACATACTTTACTCACAGGACAAGACTTGGAAAACAGTAGCCTAGGGTAATTTAATTTAGATGTGTGTGACCAGCCAGTTATAATGTTTGGAAAATAATATTTGTGCAGTCAAAGTCTTTTACGGTCCAATCAAGCAGGGCGTGGTTATGTTGATTAGCTAGTAGCGCACGTTTTAGCTTTCCTCGCAAGCACATTACACTAGTAGTAAAATCAGTCATTCTGAACTTTGGGGTTAAAATGTTAAAAATTTTGGTTGATCTAGTGTTGTGATTGTCAGGTGGGTCTGCCTGACAGATTAGAAGGCAGGGTTTCCTTGATGAACATGTGTAACCCTCATGTAAGGATATTGGAGCACGGAATTTCATTATCTTGTAGAGCTCCAGGTAACTGTGGTATGTATATAGATTTTGTATAGCTAGAATATTATTATGCTTGAATATCGGTTTGGTGTGCTCTTTTATGAAGAATTTTTGGTCTAGTTTCTGGTGTCCTATAGGCCTAGTACGTGCACAAGTCTTAAACTTATCAAGGTACGCCAGTCTATCACCAAATAGTACTCTGAGACAGTACTTCTGAGCAGTAAATAATGAGCTTATACGTTGCTTCGCTGCCCCACCCCATACAGATATACAGTAGGAAAGATGTGATTCGAACAGGGTATAATATAATTGTTGGTGTAGAAATTCTGGAAGGGAGCAGCGGAGTCTACATAAAGTGGATGTGGAATGATTTAGAGTTCGCTTAAGAGCTTTGATGTGATCTTCCCATGATAGGTTCTCGTCAATTATAACACCCAGAAATTTTGCGGATGAAACCTTTTTGATTGGAAAGTTGTCTATAGTTAGTACAACTTCAGGGTGTGATAAAATCTCTGATTTAGAACCTGCCATGGTGGGTTTGAAGTGTATGTAGCAGCACTTGGACATGTTTATATGTAACTTATTCGCTCTCATATAAGACTGTAATGATGACAGAAGCTCATTTCCTCGTTCATATGCCTCACGTTTTGTTTTGCCGACAACAAATATATTGGTATCATCAGCAAAGGTAACAAATGATCCTAGTTTAGAACTGTTTGTGATGTCGTTCATATAAAGAAGAAATAGGAGAGGTCCAAGAATTGAACCCTGCGGGACACCAAATTGAATAGATAGGGTATCTGATTTTTCTCCTACAACTTCGGTGTATTGTTGCCTGTTTGTCAAGTAGCTTTTTATGAGGTTATTTGCAACTCCTCTCACTCCACATCCCTCTAATTTTATAAGAAGTGTTGAATGATCGATGGTGTCAAAAGCTTTGCTTAGGTCAATGAATATTCCTAAAACATGATTCTTAAGTTTAAGAGATTTCGTAATTAAATCTACAGAGTAATTAACTGCATGAGATGTAGAGTGAGATTTCCTAAATCCAAACTGTGTCTTCGATATAACTCCCTGGGAGCTAACAAATCCGTATATTCTAGAATATATGAGCTTTTCAAAGATCTTACCGAAGACGGACAGTGTGGAGATAGGACGGTAGTTCTCGATTTCTTCTGGGTTACCTTTCTTATATACAGGTGTTATTTTACCAGTTTTCAGGACATCAGGAAATATACCTTGGGTCATAAGGATATTGAAGTAATTCGACAATACAGGTGCAATTACATGAGATGACTTTTTTACTACACTTATGGGAATGTCACTGGCTTTACCATTTTCGAACTCGCTTATGATTTTCAATATTTCGTTCGAGGAGCAATCTTCTAGCCTAATATTTTTTTCATTTCTTGGGTTCAGGAAGTCATAGAAAGTTTTCATGGGTAATATATGCAGGCCATTAGATAGATTATTCAGTGTCTCATTAAGCTTTGGTGCAATAGAGACAAACCAAGCATTGAATCCATTAGCAATTGCTCTTCTATCAACTATTCTTTGGTTATCAATGATAAATGGGGGCTTGGTTTGCCTCTTCTTTTTGCCCCTGAGTTCGTTAATAATTTGCCAGGTTTTCTTGCTGTTTTCACAGTTGTTTAGAATTTCGTTACAGTAATGCCAACGTTTGGCAGCTTTAATGATAGCTTTGAGCATCCTACGATAATCACTAAATACTTGGTAGAGCAATATATTACCACCAGGGTTCTTGTTAGTAACAGTGTCAGACCACTCCTTACGCAGTTCATGCTTCCTTTCTACAGACTGGATGATACTGTCTGTAATCCATGGGTTAAGTTTGGGAGTTCTTTTTGTCACTTTTGGTACCTCCAGTTTGCAGTGTTTGTCAAGTGTCTGGTCAAAACATGCCGTAAACTCATCAAATTCTATTGAAGGAGTGAGCTGGTTTACCTTCACTTCAAGTTCAGTTACAAAGCTTTTTAATTTGGAACTCGAGTAATCATAATAGCGGACATGTTTCTGAGGTTCTGTATTGCGAGGGGTCTCTACTGAAGTGAAGGTAAATATAGGGGCATGCTCACCAAGCCGTTCTTCAATAACACCTGATAAGACTATATTCTCAATTTTATTTGTTAAAATGTTATCGATGCAGGAACTTTTACAGTTTTGACGAAAATGTGTTGCAATGGAGATAGTCGGGTAAAAGCCATTTCTGTAGAATGTATCCTCAAAGAGCTGGGAACTGGTAGAAATATTAAGTATGTTTGAGTTAAAGTCTCCCAACAAATTGACAGTTTTCCCATTTAGCTGCTTTGCAAGTAATTCAAGGGTTTCACAAAAGCTATCAAAGCAGCCATTGGGGGGTCGGTAAATGACTCCATGAACAATTTTGCAGCCTGCGCTATCTGTGGTTTCAACAAAGAGGCTCTCAATATTTGTAGTATTTAAATGGTCAGATACATAGAGTGCAACGCCTGTGCCTTTTTTCTTACCTGCCAATGTTTCTTGATAGAATCCTGTGTATGCTGGAATTTGGTACAGGCCCTGCTGTGCAGGATCAGTATTGGTTTCAGCAAGACCAATCATATCAAACGAGTGCCCTATACTTTTGAGTTCAATTAGGAAGCTATCAAAGTTAGATGCATTTCCATCTATATTGTAGAATAAAGTTGATAACATAGATTTTTTTGAGGAATTGAGCTGCTTGATTGCATTTAAGAACTCGGATTTAGAGTAGCGACGGCAACGTTCAAGTACAAGGGCATATGATGCAATTAAGGCATCCTCCTGGTTTCTGTTATCATAGAATCTATCAGAATCAATAGATTCCTCATCAGATGGAAATGGACAGTACCGTTCCTCTGCAGAACTGGCACACTCGCAGCACATCCATAGTCCATTTTTGCATGAATATTTAGCTGCTTTGAAACACTTAGTATGGATGGCATTATTACAGTTTTCATTGTAGATGTCTTAGACGTATTTGAAAGGAAAACAAATTAGGAAAACAAATTTAAATTTTGGTATTTATTAATAACAATCAAAACATATCATATCATAAAAATAAAGCCGCCCGTTGGTTGACTGCCTCACTAAGGTAAATATTTTAAGCTTGAAGGTGCCCTGCGCATTTACAGAACCTCATGCGGCAATCACATGATCACGAGGACCTGTGAGCGCCAAATTTAATTTAAAGTTTCTAGAAATCATACATCACTACGAGTTACTCATGCTTTTGAATTATAGGAGT